TATATATATGCTACCTCTTCGTCACCGTGGACCGTTGGAACAGTTGGTATGACATTTGCAGCATAACCTGTCAGGGTTTCAATTCTTGGTAGTGAATGCTCACTGCTGATGAGTCCCAAATATAGGACAAAATGGCCATCCAGTGCTTTCTGCATTCTGTTGAGGTTTCTTTCAGACTCGATGAATTTCTTAATTATAATTATTAAATCATCCTAATAATTTATTTATATATATATATATATATATATATAGGGACCTCCACAAAAAATATGATAACGGTTTAAAAAATTAAAGATTTTTCTTTAAGCTTTTATTTTAGTTTTAATTTCAAGCTAATAGATTAAATTTAATATTTCTAATAATCAACATGCTTTGCTGTATTTAAAAAAGATAATTTAAATTGGCAGAAAGGTTTTTTTTTTTTTCTTTGCTAAAATAGCTGATTAGTGCCCTTTTTTTAGTTCTTTCATTGCAATGTAATTTTAATTGAGGAATATTAGCTGATTTAAAGTATAATTAATCTGATTTGAAACAAATATTATTTAAGTTTAAAATATCAAAGAAATACATTTTTTTTTAACCTGACAGTTACTGTGTTGGAAGTCTAATGTTGTTCTATGGAGACTTTATTTGTAAAACATAATTGAACAAACTGATGTGAGTGCTGTTTTTATATAATTTTTAAAAACTCAGTAATCTTAAAAATTTAGGAAAATATTCTCCATAATGTTTTATTGAATTTTAGAAATGTTTGCTCTAAATTTACTATAGTTATTGGTCTTATTTTTTGATAATGTCATGTATGGTCACTTGTACTTAGAAAAATTGGCATGTTTGTACACATACAAAAAAATTTGTTTAAAAATATTGGTGCTTGATGATTTGTATTAAGTTTTTCCATTTATGATTAGTAAATATAGTTTTCATTTAATAATAATATCTAAAAGGCTGAAATTAATACAGAATTGGAAAAGATTTAAAAGTTACTGAATTTTTTTAATTAAAATTTTTTTAAAATGAAAGCAATTCTTGTTAAAATTCATTATTCATTGAAAAAAATTTTTCTTAAGACAATCATGTCCTTGTAATATATTTTATTTATAGAAGCAATTAAAAGCTTTTCTAATTAAATAATGTTATAGTTTTATTGCATTTTTTATTTTACACTTCAGAGCATATTTTCGGTAAAGGGTGTTTCTGATCAACAAAAACAAATTAATGGTTTAAATTCTCCAAGAAGTCCTGCTTTTAACTAATATAAATATAAAGAGACAAAGATTTTAATTTCTCAAAATTTCATAAAATTAAGTGAGGGTAACAGATTATGTAAAAAAAAAAAAAAAAAAAATTCCAAAATAATTTCATTCATTTGTGATTAAGTCCTGAAAATTTAATTAAAATCTGACAATTATTTGATTTTTGCAAGAATTTAAAAATCAGTGTGTTTTTAATGTAAAAAATTATGCTAAAATTACCCATACTAATCTTTGACCCACCCATTGACACAAGAAAAACAAAATTTTCAACCAAAATTTGAAACATGCTAGAAAGGATTAAAAAATTTAATAAAATAATCAATAAATACTTTGGTATTCCTCTTAATAATAACAGACATTCTGACAATAAAACTTTGTTTTTATCAAGTTTGAGGCCTTTTTTTCATCATGGTATGCTCTTTTTTTGAAAATTTTGGAAAGTACCTAACATATATATATATATATTTCTTGAGAAAAAGAAAAATGATTAAGGACTACATTTTAGTTATGTTTACATTCTTCTATTATTAAATATCTTTGTAATTAATGAAGAATATTTTAAAAGTTTTATATCTCACTTTCATAGATAAATGAAAACTCATTATATTCTCTGTTTGCTATTTAATATGAATAATATATTTATTAAAGATAATTCTTTTTAATTTTTGTTTGAAAGAAGTCATCAAAATCTCTTTCATCCCTCATATTACAATTCTGCTTGTCCCTCCCTTAGTTACTTAGCACAACCGTTATGTCCTGCCAGTACCTCATAAAAATGAACTATTCTGTTTGGTAGTGTTGAAAGATAGAAAAGATATCAGAGATGCTACTTGGTTGGAGTGAGAAAATGAAAGAAAGAAGTGTTTAACATCTGTTTCAGTGTAATGGAAAAAGTTGTCGATTTCAAATCTCTTCATTTGAAATTGACCAATTCTTTAAATAACCAACATTTATATTGATGATTGTTATTGCAATATTTTGTTAAATTTGTTAAGCTCAAATATTTATCAATGCGATAGGGAAAAATATTTACAGATATTTTATTGTTGTAGGACTCACCATGAACTTATTTAGTCATTAACCTAAGAAATAAGATTCATCAGAAAACTCAAGTAGGAAAATTGAAATTTTCACAAGTATTTCTAGTTAGTTATTAGAAACTTGAAATTAATGTTTATTGAATATTTTTCTTTATTTTATATTGTCAGTATCCTTATCCTTAAAATAAAATTCACTAATCTGTTTCATTCAACAGACAGCATAGCATAAGTCAAACACTCAAACACACACCTTCTGTTTGCTACCACAGTCACACTGCTCTGTTGCCTTGTCAAGCACTTTTTGTAGCTTGAGTGACAGGTCAAATTTGCATAGGTGCAAAAAAGACTCTCATGAAAGTATCTGACTCTGAAATCTATTGTTTCTTAAATATACGACTTGTAAAGCTGACATTTTCTTTTTGGGATACTTTAAGCATGAGATATGTCTGAACCCACTTTCAGTTATTTTCTCTTGTGTTACACTCCCCCTTAATCTCCTGATCACATGATACATGGCAGGGGGATGGAGGTCACTTTCAGCAAATGCTTCTTTGTAGACAGGGGGAGATATTTCTATCAGCATTGCACCCTTACCTGTGTTTTCCCAGTCTCCCTCATTTCCAACATTATCATTCCTCTGGGTATGCTGGCAGACTTTGAAACCCTGTTCTTAAGAGCAACAGATTCTCTGAGTCACTCTCAGATGACCTACTATTTTCGCCGTCTTCTGAAGCAGAAGATTTGTAATGTGGTCACAGGTCTTTCACATGGCACAGCATCCTGTTCACCAATACTGTTTGGAGACTAACTATCCCATCAACTCATGCTTTACCAAATCTGCTGATACATCCGCTGTGCGGAGCCTTGACCTACCCACTGTCTCTTACTTGATTATTTACCCTGTTAGAAGGTGGTAGTGATGCATCTTTCGCTTTCATGTGTTGTTTGTACTGGTAAATTCTTTTGGCTGGTGCAGTTGATGGTGTGGAGTCATCTTTTGGGGTCACATTATACCAATACACAGCTTCCTGAAGGGAGCACTGTATTCTGGCTGCAATTCTTTTAATGGTGTGGTGACATCGTTCTGCCATACCATTACCCTCTGGAACATAAGCACATCAGTATCGCACACAAACTCCCCATTTGTCTACAAAGGCCCAAAAGTTTCAGCCACAAAAAGTTGGGACATTGTCCATCAATAACTTGACCAGTGGACCACATTCACAGAATACTGCCCGTAGCTGTCATATGACAGTCAATGCATCCTGGTGTGTCAGCGGACACCAAACATTGAAACACATTGGACCACAATCTATGAGTGTTAAGAAATGTGTGCCATTGTAGTGTGTGATTTCCATGCCTAACCACCACCAATTGCTATCCACTTCATGTCTCCCATTTTGCCAATGGGCTGGGTCTACCATCCAACACTCCTTGCAATCTTGTATTGCCAACTTGATGACCACCTTTGTAGTCAAGAGGGACACTCTTCAGACAAAGTAGGTGGTACGCCAAACACCAGAATGTCCACGTTGATGGTGTATGACACAGATCTGCTCAGGTGCCAATTAATTGGTCTGTTAAAACAGCACACATGATTGTCAATGGTTCGGTGTCTTGTTTGATCATGTCAAGCCACCTTTTTGGCACCTGAGTTAGCCTATCCATTAGATTCTGCTTTAAGTTCACCAACCATCGTCATATTAACATCTCGAGGCTTTGGTTCTTACACAGGATTTGCCCGTCAAGTGTCTATCAACCAGTGATAAACACATACTGAGTTTGTATATTGGTACACCACTTTAGATTGCCACTGTAGTGTGAGGTTAAAACCGTTTAGCATGGCATTGAGTTCCGCCAGATTGATATGCTGAGTATCTTTTGTTGGATGAAGCTAGTGTGTGTCCTCCAGAATAGCACCATGTCTTTCCAACACCACACCCATCACCAGGGAGCTTGCATCAACCCATACATTAACATCTTCTCTGATTACACACCAGTCACCTTGGGCAGGATCATCTTTGGTGATTACTTTGGCTATCATCTGCTTGAGTGGGATGTCATTCACTGTGTTATCCCATCCCTTTGTTACTGGAGTTTCTCACATCTTCATTACTCCAGTTCCTACACAAAGCCACCCACAGACAGGTAAGTATCCTACCAACTTCCTTCAAGTGGAAAAGTCATTACAGTATGTAATTATGGCAAGGAGTTCCAGAACCACTTTCCCTCACTTCCATCGTAGAGTGTTGTGCTCCCCTCAAACTTCAGGGCCCAATACTAGAACCCCATCTGTCAGGTGTTTCTCCTTGACCCCATTCACAGACATTAGGCTTTCATTTACATATGTATCATCAATATAGGATGAGGTTGCCCTCCACAGATCAAGCAAGACAACATTAACATGCTGCTGGCATCACACCTGTAATTTGGCAGCATATACATCTGCATCTGCAGTGAAGGCATCCACGTGGTGGTTCAATTCTTGGTAATCCAAGACTGGATGCACCAGTCATCAGAGGGATCAGGCCCTATTTATTCCAGGTGGTATTGTATCAGCCAGCTATCCATGTTTGCAACTCCTCTTCATATACAACACTGATCTTACTAGATACTGCATATTCTGGAACTGCATTTTGTAACTGCTCTGGTATTTTGTTTATGGCCCACTTCCACTTTGTAGTCCAGGCTTTCAGTTTCATCAATGGAGATTGCTGCACATGATTTTTCTTTCTGCCAAGCTGCACATCCCCAGCTTGTGTAATCACAGTGCCACCTAAAGCTTGTATAGCATCGATCCCAATCAGCAAATCATAGCCAAGAGGTTTTTCTTGCACAACCAGAACACCAAATTCAGCACAGTTACCTTGCTCTGTATGAATTGTGACAACTCCAGCTTCACAGCATGCTTGGACACCATCAATTGTTACAACATTTCCATGTTGCCTCCTCCACAGTCAACATCAATGCACACTAATTATTACAGGGGGACAAGGGGATACTTTGTCTCCAGATCCATTTCCCCAAACAATTTTATGCCACATGACCCAGCTTATTACAGTGATAGCTCCTCAACTGTCTCTGTGCTCCCCAATTCATGCTCCCCACACCACTTCAGCTCTGGCACTCCCTTGCAAAGTGGTTTGGACCACTACATACATTTGTAACATATGGCAGAGGAATCACTTGACATAGGTTTTCCTGGTTGGGATATTACTCTGCTGTCTGTTCTTGCTGCTGCTACCACTGGTTTTGCTACCTTGTAAATGGTCAAATCTTGAACCAATAGCTGGTCGATCGATAGTTCATCCATTCTGAATGTTGCTCCACAAAGCTGACTAACATCATCTGGCAATCTTGCTACAAAGATGCATCCCAACATCCAATCATTCCTGCCCTATAACACAACCAGGTAGATTTCAACTTTTTCACTGGGAAGTAGTCAGTGCTTAATAAAGTGTTGATATGCCATAAATGGGTCTGTCCCGATGCCTGTATAAAGAGCCCGTTTTATCTCAGTAAAGTTGTTTTTTTCCTTCCTCTTTAAGCTGCTGGTACCTGGTGTAGGCGCCCCAGCCCCCAACAGCCTCAAAGGAATGACTGTTGCTGGTTCTTTCACTTTGCATAGTCAGCAAATGAACTCTGCCTTCTTCACCCACTCAACAACAGATAGGCCAGTGGATGAACCATCAAATTCTGGCATCAACTTCAAGTTGAATCAGTACATAAGTGCCAAAATAGCTTGTAGTCAATTTCTTTATACTTGCAATAAAATTCCCTAATCTGTTTTGTTCACCAAACAGTGTAGCATAAGTCAAACAATCCAATATAGATCTTCTGTTCACTACCCCAGTCACATTGCTCTGTCACCTTGTCAAGCACTTTTTGTAGCTTGAGTGACAGGTCAAATTTGCATAGAAGCAAAAAAGAGTCTTGCGAAAGTATCTGACTCTGAAATCTATCGTTTCTTAAATCTACGGCTTGTAGAGCTGCCATTTGGGGGGGGGGATACTTTACACATAAGATACATCTGAACACACTTTCTACCAGGAGCTAAGCCATTTTCTCTCATGTTACATTTTATTTTACATATTTTAATTTTATTATACAATTCTTTGCTTTCCTTTTATTCTTCTATGTTTGATTTGTTGTCATCATATAAGGAAATGTCAGAAAGTTTTGATTCTGTAACCATGCTTTTGAACTTAAAGATTCATTTCATTAATAATTTTTATACATTTATGAAGCTGTTATTAAATTTACACATTTTAATTAGTTATTATGCACTGCCTACTAACCTACTTGTTCCATATACAAATTACTCTTCTTACTGAATTTGTTTTTTTATTCATTACCTTTGAAATTTAACCTCAATCTATTTTATTCTATAATTAAAAAAATCTGAATAACTTATTGGCATAATTTTAACATTTTACTTTGTTTTTTCTTTCAGGCTATTAAATATATTTTTATAGTAAAGACTTCCTTAGAAACAAAATAAAGACAGCAAACTATATAATTGGTGGGAAACTAGAATTTCAGAGGTGAGTTTATTCCTATTAATGGATGTGTCATAATTGTGTGCTTTTGGTGTTTTCTAACACTTTTCTATTTTCAATTACCAGTATTTTAATTTATACTTTGTAGATATCAGATTTTACAGTATTTGAGGCTGGCCACCTAAAGATAAAATGCCTTTTACTAAGATTTAAATAAGTTTTCTTCCACTGATCAAAATCCATGATAATTCACATCAGCCGATCCAGTTACAAAATTAAACCCAAGTTTATTACTTGACAATATAATTGAACTTCAACTCTTAGAATGAAACATTTTTCAATTATAAATAAACAAATGATAAGCGTTAACTCCTATCATTTATTTAACATATCACAAAGTATCAGCCATGAAAGGAAAGTCTTTTAAATGGCAAAATTCCTTGACTTGTTAAAAAAATGTTTGCTATGCATTTAATATTTTATTTCCTTTTAATCAACTTTGCATTTATTTTTTTCTCAGACATTTTCATATTTAAAAGGAGGCAAGTGTAAGATCCTGATAAAGGCTTATTAAAATGTTTGCCTGGAATAAACAACATTCAGTTTTGTTTTCATTCTTTTCAAAAGAATAAAATAATGAGAATTAATCAATGGAGACAAATAAAGCTATCAAATGTTTTATTTTAACAAATAGGAAAATTCTAGCCAAGAAAAATGTGAATTCTTAAAATACGTTTTCCTTTTAATATTATAATGTAGAATTAATTGATGCTTTCTATTGTATTGTTTAATACAAATCATGTCTGTCTGTAGAAATGTGTTACACTATAGAGTTTGGTTTAAAGGACTAGTAATCAAAAGATGTGATTAAGGTTCTATTCTGAATATTTGGAACCCATTAACACACGTCTAAGATAAAGAAAACACAATTATTTACACTATTTGGACTATTGTCCTCATCTTTGTCGCCATATTTATTACAACGTTTCGGCCGTTGTACGCTCCAGCCTTCTTCAGTTGGTTGGAATGTCGAACTTAACCCTTTATTTCACTCACTGGAGTAGACTGTTCTAGTTCTAGTCTACCCCAGTGAGCAAAATAAAGGGTTAAGTTTGACATTCTAACCGCCTGAAGAAGGCCGGAGCGTACAACATCCGAAACATTGTAATAAATATGGTGACAAAGATGAGGACAATAGTCCAAATAATGTAAATAATGTACATAATACCTCATCTCAGAAATATAGACAGATAATGAAAGAAAACAAGTTTTACCCTAAATTCTTTCTGTATTAAAAACTGCAATGGTACATCATACTAAATATAATGACCAGCACACTTAGTTTGAGGGTGATGTGATGGCTAATTTAGCAGTGATGTTGGTTTCACAACAAAACCCTTGATTGTTTAAAGCTAAAATCTATAAGTAAAAAATTTGTACACATGACAGGATCTTTTATTGAAAATTCAAACAAAGCTTAAAGGTATTATAATTTAAACATTTTTCTCCTGTTATTGGTGTTTCTCCATTTACAAAGCTTTGTTGTGGTACAAAGCTATATTTCTAGAGTGTCCAATGAGGATTCAAGTTACTGATAATAGCTTGCTAAAGTAGTATACTTTCTCTTCCATTTCAAGTCTGAGCTTAATACAATATTTTTTCAGTTAATTTTTAAAAATATCAGTTTCTTTAAGCAGTAAAAATCAACATAAATATTTCAACACAGGGATAAATTTGGCTGGAAACAAAAAAAAAAGAAATATATAAAAATTTGTTATACTCACTTTGAAGTTATCAAATAAATAAATTGCATAATGTTGATAATTCAAGCACACTGAAATTAGGAAATAAATTTAAAAAAAATAAAATTCTCTTATAGAAGATAATCTAGGGCAATAATTTCAGCTTAGCTTTAAAAGCTGTGTAAAGAACAACAAAATATAATATTGCCAAATAATCAATTTTTGAAACCAGTTATGTCATGACTTATAGCTCTGATTTTTGCCTCTTCTTGGAGAAGTGCCCAAAGAAGTTGTGCTTGATAATTAATAGAATTCTCTGCTCTCTCGAAAGTCAAGAAAGGAAACAAAGTGGCTGAGAGATTTTCTTTTCTGCTTAAAATACTCTTGAAATAGTCTGATGGATTGAGCACTTTAATAAGTCAAAATTATTAGATTTAGACAGTGAATTTCATCACTTTTATTTTGATTTTATCTTTTGATTCAAATTTTAAACTAACCAAACAAGAGCCTTGTACCGTACAATTAATGCATGCCTTTAGAATCAAGTAAAATCTTCAATATATTGGATATTTTTATGTTTACTGATATAATTCAGTGAACAAGACATACATATTGGAACACATGAACTATGAAATAGGAAAGGCCTCTGATCATAAATATCTTCCACATTAAGCATCTTTGGATATTTGTAATTGCTACATATTTTGAAAAACTTTGAAAATATATATCATATAAATAAGAAGATATCTATATCTCTCATTCCCTTTTGTATATTTACTTAATATCTGATAATCTCTATCTATAAAAGGCAGGATGTGTGTGTGTGTGTGTGTAACGATTTGCACCAAAATTTACATGCACATGCTCAAAGTTAGCAGGAAGGCCAAGACCGACTTTGCATTTCCCAACTCCCATCGATAGTGGAAATAATTGATTTTTTCATGCTTCTATGGCAGTTTTCATGTAGTTTGTGTCCATTTTCTACTGGCCAGAGTGAGAGCCTATAGCTGGCTGCCATGAATAGGCAGGAAGATTCTATTGGCCAGCGTGAGAGCCAACAGCTGACTGACACGAATGTTAACTAACATGCAAAAAAAATCGATAGCTGCATTCGTCACAAGTGGGAAAAATTTAAATCTGCATGGCACTTTACTCCAATTGGCTCATTCACTTGCTTAAACTCAATGTTGATTCTGATTCTGCAGAACTGGGTTGGGTGTGAAAAAGTATTTGTTGTTAACATTCTTTTTTTCATTCAGTTTTTCCAGTTACAAGTCCTTTTTTAAAGCTGATCGTTTTGTGTTCATTTTGTTTAGTTCTTTTTTTGTAACAGATTTAATGTTTAGTATAGAGCTTAGAAAAAATTTGCAGCGTGAGATAGGCAAGAAGTAAGGCATGTAGCAACATCAGCATGGCAAAGGCACTCCTTTAAAGGCAAGGAAGGGCAAAAATATTTTAAGTCATGTGATTGCTGTATGAGTCGTATGATTTTTGAATCAAGCACAGGCAATGCCAGGCCATGCGGCTAGTATACATTAAAAATAAATAATTTATAAACCAATTAATATTTTGTTGAATATCAAGCATTAATTTCTTGCAATTATTTGATTGTTATAAATCTCCTTTTTTTTATGTGATTTTTTCCTCAGTATCTTCTCTCATTATAATCCATTCATATTTAGTATTGGCAGCAACATTTTAAGATAGAAATTTCTACAAATGATTTTTTAATGAAAACATAAAATTTCATGTCACACCAACAGAGAAAGTATAAGCAAGGTATTTTCCAAGACATATCTGCTTCTGATGATTTTTGTATTCATTTAAAGCATCTGGTGTTCCCATACTACTAACCACATAAAGATACAACATATAAAATTATTAATGCACTCATCACCAAATGTGCTTTCATTGAAATTGTAGTTTTAATTTTTCTTTTCTTTTATCCTCAGTAAATGATAAAATGTTGAAGACAGTTGTATTATTTATGGAAAATACATATTAATATTAATGCTCTTTATCAATCTTATGGAATTTAATTGAAATTATTACAGTTTACATTTGCTACTACCTTTCTTAAATTATTAATAAAATTACCAAATAGACCTCTTTACTATGTTGTGTAAATTTTGATGGGGTCATGTCATGTGAAGATGATGACCACACCATTCATCGAAAACTCTTGAATGCAACGAATGACAGGGTGTATTATCCTGCTGGAATAATACACTGTTGCTTGGGTACCATCAGCCTAAAACATGTGGAAACATGATTCATTGGATCATGCCACACACTGCCAGTCATCCAGAGTCTAATTAGTGGCACCACAAGCCCAGGTAAGGCACTGTGTCCAATGTTATAGTTTTAACAATTGTGATGCTAACAGGTATATTGGAGCAGAAGACTCTTAGAAGCTAAAAACAATACTGAACTGACCCACTGAATATGCATCTAGTATGTCTTACACTGAATTTGGATGTTATTTGAGGAAGCACTGTTTGTTACTGTAGACAATTCAAAATCCCCACAATTTCAGAAATGTTCATACCCATCAGTATCACACCCAATATCTTGCCCTGTTCAAACTCCAATGGTTCACATTACTTTGCCATGCACAACCTCACCAATGTTTGCATGGAAACACTAAATGTCAGGACGTAACTGATATATGTCTGTGCATTTGCCTGATGTCAAGATACAGTGGCATCACCTACCATTACCTAGACCTCTTCATATCCCATGTCTTATTACACATGGGTGTATAAGCAGTTAATTTTTTTTACCATTTCATCATTAACATATTTTGTTTCTTATCAATAATTACAATACTTTTTGTTCCATTTTTTCATTTTGGCTTCAATATAAAAAGAAAACATTCAGTTCACATGGTTTTGTTTTTTGATACATCAAGTGGATGATAAAGAATGCTAGGCTGACAGCACATTTTATTTCTAATGACCAGTTAAATGATTTTGTTTACTATTACTGCCATTTTCTATCTTAGACTTATACCTCTTAAAATATCTCTATTTGCCTTTAAAGCACACTCACTTGTTAAGATTTTCTCAAAAGGCATATCTATTCGATTTCATCTCTGAAATGTAAACAAAGCAATTTTTATTAAGTTAATGGATTTTATTTTTTAATCTGACATATTTTTATTACTTCAAATGTTATTTTTAGGGAATACCTGTACCGTAAACTGGGGTAACTTTGACTGATTTTGGGAATTTTGAAAAAATGACCACCTCTATAATTTTATCAATGGAATTGCAACTTTTGTTCTTTTACTGGCGAGAGTGA